GGTGAATTCCTTCGGCAGTAACGTTGCAGTCAACATTTGGTGGAATCACCAGGCATACGTCGTGCCCTCCCCGGAGTCCTGCGGCAGGCCGGACCCGGGGCTCGATATCTCGCTGGCTGATGTTAGCTTCCAGTACCACGACCAGCCGGACACCGGCATAGGCTTTCTGAGGGATCTCCACCCAGAAGTGGATTTCGTCAGGGATCCGTCGTAAGTTTCATTGCCTATAGTATAGTTCCTCCAAAATATAGCTGGAAATACTCACCTTTTATTAACGGAATATCTTGGAAACGGTGACGATTACAAATTTGCCGAAGTTGTATTTTGTTATATTGCTGTTGCAGAGCAAGTTTGAGGGCTTTTATGGACGAGGAGGAGACGGAATCGCTGACCGAGCAGCAATTTTTGGAATTCATGGACATGGTAACAGGAACACAAAAACTGTCGATGCTTGTTCAAAGTTTCAGTCAATCTAATATACCGTTTAGTAGCAACCGAGAGACTGCTGAACACACATAATAATAGGCATCTTTATGATCAATTGCTTTTCATGCATTTTGTTCGTTCAAATAATAACACCAACTCAAAAGAAGAATTTCCAAAATGTAACCTGTTTAAGTTTCAGCTCTATGGGTATTACACTTTTCGAGAAAGAAAGAAACCCACGCACACCCTTTTGATTACGAAAGATTATTTCGTCCATAACACTCTGTATTTCCACAAATCAGTCAGTTGACTGATCGTTGGAATCACCTACATTATGTAGGTGATTCCAACGATCAGTCAACTGGGCTACATTTCTTGATTTCTTCTGAATGACATCATACCAAGTGGAATAACATCATGGGGTGTTTAGTACCATTGCGATTTTTCATCCCAATGAGATTTTTGATGATAATTCGATAGGATGCTTTCGGGATAAATACAAATAATCCTATGTGCCTTTAAGTGATAAAAAAACCGTATAATTATTCACGTTAGGAAATCTGTATAAAAGAGATATTGAAGACCCTCGGCTTTTGGTGAAGTTTACTTCCTTTAGTTATTTCCTTTTCTAAAACTTAGTTTACTCTCTGTTTCCGAATTCTAGATGCTGTCAGGACCGGAGGGTGAGATCTGGACGGAGGAAGCTGTGCATGTTGCTCACCAGGTATATCAATCTTGGTTTCTTAAAATCCGTCTAGTTGTGTTGTCAACAAGTCTTGTGTTTATAATGAAAACTGCAAGTAATTTTTTACAGGGTAATTTCTTGTAAAAAAAAAAGGTACATAGGGATGGTCATGGAAGGTTGTTTGTTGTTTTTTGCTCATTCGTATAATGGAACAAGAAATGTTTCTATGTTTGAATTTTTCATTTACATGTTTTAATATTTTTTTCATGCTATTCACCGCGTGCGGCAGATGTTCCAAATGCTCGATACTGATGGCAATGGTGAGATTACATCACATGACATGGACAAGTTTCCTGTAAAGATCAACAAGGTACACTCTAATTCATTCTCTCTTAGCTGTGTAAACCTACGCTAGCCTCCGACACTTTGTCAGCGATCAGCTAGCTAGAAAGATTCGCTGGCCCGGCTACCTCCCCGCAGCACCGATGTTTTGTTGGCAAATTTGCCATCCCCCTCCGCCCGCCTTTCCTCCCTTGACTAATATTCTACAATGTCATTTAAGCTAAGTGATTAACTCTTTCCTTGTCGGATTATCTGAGACATTTTGAGGAAGGAACTCACCATGATCTTCATCTTTTTATCATTTCTCACAGTTTGACTCCTTCTTCATCAATCTTGGGCAGAAGATGATGATCCTATGCGACATCGCTGACGGTCAGATTTCTAAACAAGTGCAGGTATGGCTAAAGATCACGGCTCCTAAAAAGGGAATTCAAAATAAATTGTCAATTTTACTTTTTGTGGGTCCGATAAAGAGCCAGCTAAGCAGGCAGGCAGATTGGCTGGCTGCCACCTGTGAATTTGACTGGTTACCTACCTCACTGACTCTTGTGGTAGCAGACCAGTAAATAAACTTCCATAGACCCCAATGGTAAATGCTCCCACTTCAAAAATTCGGGAAAAATACTCACAACTCTCCAAGGTGTTCAAGACACACATCAAATTAAAGCTTATTTCATCATCTTTCATTTTCTGTTCAATTTACGGGGGTCAACTGATGACTTTTAGGAGAAATTTCAATCTGAAGACGATCACCCCTGAAAATAGTCCTGAAGCCCATCGCCATTTTGAAAAACGATGCCTACACTCCATTGCAAAATAGAGCGCTTTTAGGGTCCAAATTACATCCAATTTACACAGAACTGCAAGCTCCCAGTCCTGTGCACGGCTTCCACCCATATTTTTTACAAACCCTCAAGTTCATGGCCCACAGCATGCTCAAATACCGAAGATTTGAGGGCATGCAAATCGCGATTTGGCCGGCGCAGGCAATTTCGGACCGATTTACTGGTCTGCACCCTATGACCATAGAGGTGCTTACACTGGTCAGGGATCACCTTTACGAGTCATGTATAATTATCTTGAAGAATCTACACCACATTCATATCATGTGCATTAGTCTGGCGCCGATTTGTATGTACTTTCATGATACACGTGTATGCAATAATCAAGTCTCCACGTGGACATTTCATTGCCATGACGTGACCACTGCAGCTTATACTATAAACATTTTTTTAGTCATTCCCAATCAATTGAATATGTGTGAGAATTGGAACCAGCTTTTCTTTGCTTGTCTTGTTTTGTTTTGTATATTGCACTAATAATCTGCTTATTTTGCTATTCTGCAGGAGATTTTGAACAAGTTTGAGGAAGACAAGGTCCGGGATGTTGGTGACACACCTTCACATGAACATGGCAGCAAGTACAGAGGGACCAGTGGTCATACGCCCATGCGCAAAGGGGAACTGTAAAATAGGAACCAACTCAAAGTTTTGTCATAAATTGCTACGTCTATAGTTTACCTGAATTTTTTTTATAATGGATGAAGATAATGGAAGAAAACTGTATCTTTGAATAAAAAACTAATAATTACACCATGTATTTCATTTTGTTCTTCTAAATTATTGTTTTCATGTTGTGTTACGTGCGAGATATGATGTGTATTTATCCTATACAATTGTCTGAGTTGTTATCAGGCGCGGGAAGATTTTGAAATCTACGATGATTTATCCTGCATTCTAAGGCAAGTGAAGAATAAATTAAGGAACTTTAGCATTCCATTTATTATTGTTGGTCCTATTGTACAAGTTTCATAACATCAGTGGGGTGTTACCTCCCCCTAGATCCGCTACAGCCTGGGTATGGGAAATCAACAATAGAATTCCCCTAAAATTCATAATCCTTATATTCATTTTAATATTGTTAGTGGTAAATCCTTTTACAAAACACTCGAAGTAAACCTAGCTTACATAACTTTTGTCGTCTTATTTTTGTCCGTTAAGAAGTTATATGCATAAATTCAGAGTAAAAGTTGAATTTGTATATTAAATGTGAGTGTGAATGTATTATATACATATACATGTTTACTTATTTCAATTAAATCACTGTATAACAGTTTATAAATGTTCCGAACGTTTTCCTTATTCCCACTGAGTTAGGAGCCTGTCATGCAGGGAGTTATATTTAACAATAGACCAGCAGGTGTATAATCATATGCAACGCGGTGTACATGAGGTAATTTTTATGCAACGTAGTGTATATGAAGTATACCGGACACGTGGCTGTTCTAGATCAATGAAATATTCAAGACACTAACAATTAACCTTTGCCAAAGATCGTTGTAGCAGGCTGACCATTATGGAAACTGATAAATACTGATTAAAACGAACACCGTTGACTTTATTCAATATTGAACGCCGGGTGGACAATAACAAATTGCATATTAATTTGATCCTGTTCTGAGGTCATTTCACAGTGGCCTACGTGTAGCGTGCAACACCAACGCAACCTTAACCGACTAATCATGCAGTTAATTCCAAAAATGTACTTCTGTGAGGGAAAGAGGGCGCTATTTCCCATTAAAATGTCTTGGCCTTGGCACACTACAATGTCGACGATTGTTTTCGCTGATACCCAATTTGATTGGACGAAAGTCCGATGTCAACAGAGGGCGCTGTTCATTGATAAGCACCTACTTGAGAGTACGCATGTAGAAAAAAAAATAACTCTTGAGAAAGGAGGGCTTATGACAAGGTTAAGAAAGGGCAATTTGAAGACAACAAAAATCGACGGTGCAGGGAGGAGGGAGGGGTGGGGGCATTTACGGTGGGTGATGACTGGGTGAGGAAGGGGCAATGGGTTAAGAAGACAGACGGGGTGAAGTAGAATTTGGAGCCGAGGTAAGGAATTAGGGGCAACAGGGTCTGGCGGCGGGGAAACATTGCAGAATTGGGGATTCGGACGAGGGTTCATGGGGCTGGGTAGGGCATAAAGAAAGGCTGGGTTGCGGGGGGGGGGGGTAGGTATGGGAAAATGTAACAAGCTCATTAAAAATGAAGGTCGATACACAGAAATGGATAATTTTAAGCAACAACAGAAATCCTTTTAGGCTTAAACAAGCAGCTACAATGTACATCACATGCTACGCAAAAATACGAAAACAACAGACGCATTTCAAAATACATGGGGCTTGAAATCACGGGCCCTAATTTTCTCTTGAAGTTAAAACAAATGAAAGACACCAAGCTTCATACAATGACCTGGTATTGAGAGCATGGTCTAAGCTGCCTATTGGAATTTTGTCATTAAAAAACACCTAAACTGAATGTACATTCTAAAATTGTTCGCATCCAGTATTGACCATTAAGTTTTAATTACCCCCCCCCCCCAAAAAAAATACCCAATTAATGTACATTTCAAATTGTTGAGTACGCTACTCAGTACGTCAGTGTCATCTTTGTACCCAGATGACTGACTGACTCTCTTACTGACTCGCGAGTGAATTAGCCCAGTTGTTATAGGTGAAGATGCAATCGTATAGGTAGCCATTATGGAGTAATCTGGCCAATTGTGTACACCAGATGTATGGAAAGACTTTCGGTGAAGTCATTCTGAATCAGTTAAAAAGAATTATGTGTGCTCTGGGATCTTTTCTGTGCTCTTGTCTTTTTTCATTTTCATGTCTGTGTTTCCCACGACCATGCCTGGATGACCGATGGACGGGAAGGCTTCATCACTCTGCCGTGCCGAAAACCGAACTATCGTCAGGGTTCGCGTAGGGCCTACTTCAAATCCCAAAACACTGAGAACCAGCCATCGGAAAGTCTCTTTAACCATCCCCGTTAAAACATACGGGTCTCATCTTTCGGCCTTCACTGCATGCTCCTCTTGGACAAAACAATCGCTCGCAAGCAAGCGTATTCAATCACAATAACCATCTCTGCCCTCACAGGTACCCATTTACTCCTGGGTGGAGAGAAGCAACGGATGACAAAGTGCCTTGCTCAAGGGCACACGCACCATGACCCCGGCTGGACTCGGACCAACAACCCGCAGCTTTACCCACAGACCACGAATCCAGTGTCCTTAACCACGAGGACACAGCACTCCACATAAATGTTAAATGCAAGCTATTTCCGAGTGTATAAGTGCTCTGAACCTCAAAAGTCCCCTTGTTTCTCGAACATCATACAACCTTCAGTTGATCGAAGTTGATTCACATAACATTTGGTCCCGCATGCGTCCGGACGTACCATTCACACGCTATTGTGTTTACCCTGTTCTGCTTGCACTTTTTTTGAGAAAATACTTCATACATTTTATGTTAAATGCATTAAGCGATTTCCGAGTGTATAAGTACTCTGAACCTTAAAAGTGCATATTTTCAGTGTCCCGAATTGTCATCGTCATCGCCATGCCTCTTTTAAGATGTATCAGACCCCATGCAGTTTTCCACTTTCATCCCCAAAAGAGATTCCCTTTCTAAATTGCTTTTTAACATTCTGGCAATTAAAAAGTAATTCACGTTTGATTGAGACCTCGTCCGAAAAATCCGGCCCATGTTTAGTTATTGAGTTATTACTTTTTTGGGGAAAAAAAAATGTGTTCTGGATCCGGTGTCATATGAAAATCGGACTCGTATGAAAAATCAAACTCTTTTTTCCTTTCATTGATTAAACCCTCTCACGTGACCGGTCCCCTCCTAATCATCTATGCATGAACATGCGCAATATCATCAATGAGTCCATATTTCATAAAGCCTAAATTCAAGCTACCCCGGCCTTGCGAAGAACACGGGGAGTGCTGGAAACGCAACTTTAATGTGGTCCCAAAATCAGTTGGGTTACTTCTCATTTCAGGCGGCACGGCAGGACGGGGGATACCCCCCCCCCCCCCGCCGCCTCAGTATTTGTTGGGAACGTCCATGACAATGCATTCCCCCTCTCCCTATTGTATATAAAGGCTAAAAAAAATCTTCCATCCCACCCAACTCCACCTCCAAAGACATACACTGGAAAGGACATGCACGCCAAACACTACCATACAGCACCGCATAATTTTATGTAGCATGATCTTCGAATTTCTTACTCCACTTGTCATGACAAGAATTTCCCGCTTCCGTCGGATTGTAACACTGATAAAAGTCTTTATTATCTATTTTTCTTGTTTGCAATATTATTTAGGCTTACCATTGCGCCTATAGCCCACATATAGCATGAATAATTGTCTGTAAAGTTGTTATCCATAGTAGTAGTTTTCAACGGATGTCCAATTCAAAAGTGAATATCAATCTTTCGTATTGCTAGAAGAATTAGCAAAAAAAATATTACTTATTTGGGGTGAACTCGAAAATAGTATGGAGAGGGCAACTTTAACTTTTATAATGATATACTGCCCGAATATTTGCCGAGTCTTTCAATCACTGATTCAGGATTCATCAGGTGAATTCCTTCGGCAGCAACGTTGCAGTCAACATTTGGTGGAATCACCAGGCCTACGTCGTGCCCTCCTCGGAGTCCTGCGGCAGGCCGAACCCGGGGCTCGATATCTCGCTGGTCGATGTCAGATTCCCGTACCACGACCAGCCGGACACCGGCATAGGCTTTCTGAGGGATCTCCACCCAGAAGTGGATTTCGTCAGGGATCCGTCGTAAGTTTCATTGCCTATAGTATAGTTCCTCCAAAATATAGCTGGAAATACTCACCTTTTATTAACGGAATATCTTGGAAACGGTGACGATTACACATTTTCCGAAGTTGTATTTTGTTATATTGCTGTTGCAGAGCAAGTTTGAGGGCTTTTATGGACGAGGAGGAGACGGAATCGCTGACAGAGCAGCAATTTTTGGAATTCATGGACATGGTAACAGGAACACAAAAACTGTCGATGCTTGTTCAAAGTTTCAGTCAATCTAATATACCGTTTATAACTATAAATAACTATAACTTACAACATTTATAATGCGCTTTCCACAATGTTTCAAAGTCTCTCGGTTTAGTAGCAACCGAGAGACTGCTGAACACACATAATAATAAGCATCTTTATGATCAATTGCTCTTCATGCATTTTGTTCGTTCCAATAATAACACCAACTCAAAAGAAGAATTTCCAAAATTTAACCTGTTTAAGTTTCAGCTCTATGGGTATTACACTTTTCGAGAAAGAAAGAAAACCACGCACACCCTTTTGATTACGAAAGATTGTTTCGTCCATAACACTCTGTATTTCCACAAATCAGCCAAATGACTGATCGTTGGAATCACATACATTTCTTGATTTCTTCTGAATGACATCAAACCAAGTGGAATAATTTCACGGGGTGTTTAGTACCTTTGCGATTTTTCATCCCAAATGAGCTTTTTTGATAATAATTCGATAGGATGCTTTTGGGATAAACAAAAGTGATCTTATGTGCCTTTAAGTGATAAAAAAAACCGTATAATTATTCGCGTTAGGAAATCTGTATAAAAGAGATATTGAAGACCCTCGGCTTTTGGTGAAGTTTACTTCCTTTAGTTATTCCCTTTTTCTAAAACTTAGTTGACTCTCGGTTTCCGAATTCTAGATGCTGTCAGGACCGGAGGGTGAGATCTGGACGGAGGAAGCTCTGCATGTTGCTCACCAGGTATATCAATCTTGGTTTCTTAAAATCCGTCTAGTTGTGTTGTCAACAAGTCTTGTGTTTATAATGAAAACTGCAAGTAATTTTGTACAGGGTAATTTCTTGTAAAAAAAAAAGGTACATAGGGATGGTCATGGAAGGTTGTTTTTTATGTTTTGTTTTGTTTTGTTTGTTTGTTTTTTTTTGTTTTTTTTGCTCATTCGTATAATGGAACAAGAAATGTTTCTATTCTTTTGATTTGTTTAATTTTTTCATTTATGTGTTTTAATATTGTTTTTTTTTTGTTCATGCTATTCACCGCGTGCGGCAGATGTTCCAAATGCTCGATACTGATGGCAATGGTGAGATTACATCACATGACATGGACAAGTTTCCCTTAAAGATCAACAAGGTATATACTATATTTCATTCTCTCTGAGATATGTAAACCTACGCTAGCCTCTGACACTTTGTCAGCGATCAGCTAGCAAGAAAGATTCACTGGCCCGGCTATACCTCCCCGCAGCACGGAGTTTTGTTGGCAAATTTGTCATCCCCCTCCGCCCGTCTTTCCTCCCTTGACCCTGGACAAGCGCAATGTTCATACCAAAAAAACTCCGATTGGAACTTTCATATCTAATATTCTACAATGTCATTTAAGCTAAGTGATTAACTCTTTCCTTGTCGGATTATCTGAGACATTTTGAGGAAGGAACTCACCATGATCTTCATCTTTTTATCATTTCTCACAGTTTGACTCCTTTTTCATCAATCTTGGGCAGAAGATGATGATCCTATCCGACATCGCTGACGGTCAGATTTCTAAACAAGTGCAGGTATGGCTCAAGATCATGGCTCCTGAAAAGGGAATTCAAAATAAGTTGTCAATTTTACATTTTGGGTTTCCGATAAAGAGCCAGATAAGTGGCCTCTTTGTGCCTGACAGGCAGACAGTTAGGCAGGCAGATTGGCTGGCAGTCACCTGTGAATTTGACTGGTTACCTACCTCACTGACTCTTGTGACCATAGAGCTGCTTACACTGGTCTGGGATCACCTTTACGAGTCATGTATAATTATCTTGAAGAATCTAAACCACATTCATATCATGTGCATTAGTCTGGCGCCGATTTGTATGTACTTTCATGATACACGTGTATGCAATAATCAAGTCTCCACGTGGACATTTCATTGCCATGACGTGACCACTGCAGCTTATACTATAAACGTGTTTTTTTTTTAGTCATTCCCAATCAGTTGAATATGTGTGAGATTTGGGACCAGTTTTTCTTTGCTTGTCTTGTTTTGTTTTGTATATTGCACTTATAATCTGCTTATTTTGCTATTCTGCAGGAGATTTTGAACAAGTTTGAGGAAGACAAGGTCCGGGATGTTGGAGACACACCTTCACATGAACATGGCAGCAAGTACAGATGGACCAGTGGTCATACGCCCATGCGCAAAGGGGAACTGTAAAATAGGAACTAACTCAAATTTTGTCATAAAGGTCTATAGTTTGCCTGAAAAAAAATACAACGGATGATAATGGAAGAACACTGTATCTTTGAATAAAGACCATAATCATACTATGTATTATATTTTTCTAAGTTAATGTGTTCATGTTGTGTTACGCGTGAGATATGATGTGTATTAATCCTATACAATTGTCTGAGTTGTTATCAGGCGCGGGAAGATTCTGAAATCTACGATGATTTATCCTGCATTCTAAGGCAATTGAATAATAAATTAAGAAACTTCAGCATTCTATTTATTATATTTGGCCCCATTTTACAAGTTTCATAACATCAGTTAGCGGCTGAAGGGGGGGGGGGGGGGGGGGGTACCGCCCCCTAGATCCGCTACAGGGAATGTGAAATCAACAATAGAGTTCCTCTCTATTCACAATCACTTATTCATTTTAATTGTTAGTGGCAAATCCTTTAAAAAAAAAACACTCGAAGTAAACATAACTTTTGTCGTCCTATTTTTTTCCGTTATGAACTTATATGCATAAATTCAGAGTTGTTATCAGGCGCGGGAAGATTTTGAAATCTACGATGATTTATCCTGCATTCTAAGGCTATTTACACTAGTGGCAATAGCACATTTTAAAATACACATTTTTTAGAGTTAAAAAAAGAGTCTATCCCCAAAAGAACTGTGCCTGTATATATTTCAACTTTGCTTTATGGGGTCGGAATTCAAAGTTTTGTTAGCACAACGAGGGCGCTGTTTTATCCTTTTTAAACCGACTTCAAGGCAGGCGCGGTTCTAGGGGGGGGGGGGGGGGCTTTAGCCCCCCCAAATTTTGTCTAGCCCCCCCAAAATAAATTCCGTAAAAAGAAATTGCATTAGCAAAAAAGATTGTGATGTACATGCAAACGGTCTCCCCCTAAAGAAATAGTCTTGACAAGGGTGCATTTTTTGTAGTTAATATAGTGTGAATGATTTTAGGATTTTATTGGCGCTCCCCATTGAAAATATGGCATCCCCCCCACCTATTGATTTTCGGAAGCCTAAGTGTGGAGAAAATAACCGGTCTACATTTCAGCATGCCTCCCTGAAAAAAAATTCTGGATCCACCCTGCTAGCCCCCCCCCAAAAAAAATATTGGTTCTAGAACCGCGCCTGCTTCAAGGTGAGTAATATAAAATTGAGGGCGCTGTTTGTCAAGTTTAAAGTTATTTTCTTTTAAGTTATGTTTTTCAAATGTTGGGGTGCTGTTAATAATTGTTTTAGTAACCAAGTCTTTTTTCTAAATAATGAGGTCACTGTTTTAAAAAATAAACCACACTTGCGAACAAAATTGTAACGTGGTGCTTGAACTTTATTTTTTTTCCATCTGGTTTAAACTTGTACATGTATATATATATATTTTTAATTTGACCTTTGACCTGACCCTTCAACTTTGACATAACCTTTGACATGACCCTGAAACTTGACGTAACCTTTGACCTGACCGTTGACCTTTCACCACAACCCCCCAAAAAGCCCAGCCACACACAGGCCCCCCCCCCCCCCAGTGCGCACACGCATGTCCCCGCCCACAGACACCAACAAGCAGCAGTCACCCAACTACCCACACCAACTTGTGGCCAATTATTGATGAGTGTACACAGCACCCTCTAGATCTTGCAAATTGACCAATCATGGATACCCAAGTAGAAAACAAAATAATAAGGATCTATTAAACTCCGACAATTGGTTCAGTTTTCTACAAGGCAGATGATACTTTGGGTTTTTGGTTACGAGCGTTGCCATGGGAACCCACTATCTACTGTCAAGAATGACAATTTAAGAGACTCTTTGCACCTTTCCTTAATTACCCCTTGACATTATCAGATGTTCACAGTTGCATCATAACTTCTGATTCAATCAAATAAAAAATTAACAAACGGTTATGTTTTGCAAATTTGCTTGGACATTTTACAGTGTCGAATAATTTTAGGTCAATCATATCGATCCTATTAAATTATACAGGGAAAATCTCCAGAGTGTAATTCTTATAAATCTTTATGCTGTTCTCAGTATCTACAATGTGCACAAAGTAGTCATCTTTAACTGTAATTTCACTGACATTTTATCTGCTGGTTCTTTTTAGTAACTGCAATGTTTTCGTTATTGCTTGATTTGCAACATCACAAAATGGCAATAAATTAAATTTGTGAGATTTTCTTTAACTGCATCAGTTTTTGATCTCAATTTGCTTTTATAAAATGAGGCGACGAGAATAAATTGCTTGATAATGAATGCAAGTATGACAGAAATGAGGGTTTGGTAGCAGACTATGCTCTCTGGAAATTTCACTTCAACAAACAATATTTTATTAAGCAAACAACACTTTAAAATAAACCAAAGTGCTGCTTACAAAGTAATTTAAACTTAAAAGTTTTCGGTAAACAAAAAGCATTGTTATTTTCACTGGGTTCTATATTCTAAACAGTTATCCCAGAATGAATTGAAAGGAAAACCACATGTACCATTTTCTCCTAACTTTAAAAAGCCTCGTTTTTAATGAACCGATTCATATGCAAATTATTCAAATGTTTGTTTTGGCGTCCAGGCTTAGCGAAACACTGATTGGTCCACACGGAGATTTGACCTCTGTGATTGGCTCAGCTTTGGGCGGAATATTTTTCCCTTTGATAGGAGAGCACGTGCGGCCTCTTGTGCGCTGAACCGACGGGACGCCATTTTGAAAAACACGCATGAAAATGGCTGCCGACTGTTTGTGCTTGAAGACATTTGCAAGACTCTTTCAGCTTCTTCGAGTTTTCAAGAAGAACAATAACTGGATCAAGGCGGGAGTCCGAGAAACAACAGTTTTCACCATCATTTTCTTGGTACGTTAAAAATAAAAATAGGCGAGAAAAGTGTCATTCTTACTGGACAGTCCTACCACGGAGCTATAGCTCCATGTGGGATCATGCCACACGTAGTTTGCCCTCTTTTCCAATGCCATTTTCCATGCTGTGGTAAAAATGTACTTTAACCCCTCTGTTGGGAGACAAATTGGAAAGATTCCCATATATTGCTATCACTAATTTTTCCCTTCAGTGACCTATCAGCCGTCTGAAAGTGATAATATGTCCTAAAAAGTCAAATTTAGCAGGGAAAATATCCTATTTAATACTGAGAAAACACAACAATTTTCAGACCAGTTCATACTGTTTGTGCACAGGGTGAAAAGAGTTGGCCAGATATGGGAATCTTTTCTGAGAGAGATTTATGTGCAAAAAATGTTGCAACCTGACGCCACTTTTTTTCTTCATATATCGACGCAATGAAGGTTATTCATTACAAAAATCTGGGTCAAGGGCGGATCCAGGGGGAGCCAACGGGGGCCATGCCCCCCCCCAAAAAAAATTAACGAAACCATTTTTTTTTTTAAAGTGGTGTCACAATAAAGGCAGGCACCGTGTTAGCCCCATAAATGTGGCCTATTTACTGGACTGCCTCCGTAAACATAGGCCACACATCCACATGTACAAAAATCGTGTCGACGGAGCCAAATTTTGATTTTCACATTTAGGCTTAGTTTGTAGGTTTTTTTTGCTTTAGAAGCATACTCACCCTCTTTATAGGCTAATCAGAAAGTGCTGCCTTTTTCAGATGTATATTTTTCGTGAAATTTCCAGATTCATTTTTACACGTTTGCGTATCAAAATTTCAACATGAAATTTCACAAAAATTAGACATCTGAAAAAGGCAGCACTTTCTGATTAGCCTGTAAAGAGGGTGAGTATGCTTCTAAAGCAAAAAAAACCTACAAACTAAGCCTAAATGTGAAAATCAAAATTTGGCTCCGTCGACACGATTTTTGTACATGTGGATGTGTGGCCTATGTTTACGGAGGCAGTCCAGTAAATAGGCCACATTTATGGGGCTAGCACCGTGTATACCACCATCTTTCCTCCAAAAGATTTGGTTAAAGTGGTCATATCAGAAATATCCTCAGATGGCACCACAGAGCATCGATCTACAGACTACAGTAGAATCCAAAAAAAGTCAAGGCCCTTAAGTGGGCCCCAAACCCAACGCCGAATTTTTGGGGACCCTCTTTTTGGGGGACCAAAACATTTTTTGGTCCCCCAAAAAGTGGGTCCCAAAAAATCCAGCTGGATTTTGGGGGACTACAAAACTTTTTTGGCCCCCCAAAACAATTGTGTTTGGATCCGCCCTTGATTTGGGACTGAGAAACATTTCAAATTTTGTTAGGAAATACTTAAATAATTTTCTTGACTCTCCATAGACTTTGTACACAACCGTGTAACCGTGCATCAGGTTGCAGCTCAGGATGCCTGTGAGGGCCAGGGATGAGGCACCATCCTGAGGTCATAATTACATCTTTTCTGGCTTTCAGGATGACTGAGAGCTCCAAATTGGTGAGTGCCTCAGAATTTTTTGTAGTAAACTTTTATAAGACAGAAATTAGAAAACATATTTTACACATCCGAGGCTTATAGGGGCATACCTTACATAATGCATTGGTTACCTCAGACTGTACCGCAGAGCATCTGGATTCTAAAATTTCCTTGGGCCCTTTAGCGTGCCCAGGACCTCACACTGTAAGACATTTTGTGCTAAGCGCTCGTATTAGTCCTCAGAACAAATGCCCCAATGCATCGTTGCAAAAATTCCCTTTCCCAAAATAAAATGCAAGAAACTATGAAGAAGAAAATACATGGTTTTCAACTTTAAAGTAAACAGTAAGTTAAAATGTGTGAAAAAAAAAATATCGTAATAACGTTTGCTCAAATACATTGTAATTCAGGGGGAAAGGGGCCAAATGACCAAAACAATCAGTTCTAGATAAAAATAACCTATCCTCTGTCCACAAAGTCCAGAGCCAAGAATCGGCTTCATAGAAATTCAATCATGTGAAGGCCTGGGACATTCACTATTACTAGTGCAAACAACAGCGAAGAAAATCAAACAGACTTCACGGAGCCCTTTGCAGCAACGAGGCATATAGAGCATGATAATTGAACCCTGGTCCTGTAAAATGGATACTAATCAACGTTTTGAATGTCACAATTGCATGAGCACGGTCAAACCAAACGGGGTTAATACTTGGACAAGTGATGCAGCGTGAATTTATGTAATAGACTCATTGGTGTTTGGGGGCATGCTCATGCATATGGGCGTCGCAAGGGGGGGGGTGCTTGCCCACCCATCCCCCCCCTGGAAAAGGAAAAAAAGGGGAAAAAAGGGAAGAAAAAAGAGAAAAAAAGAGAAGATTAGAAAAGGAGGCGCGAAGTCATATTGGTGTAAATTTAATGGGTTGGGGGGGGGGGGCAAAATGTTACTGCCCTCCTCTAAAACTAATAAA